AGAGTCCTCCCAACCACCCTGCGTCACCCTCTCCTCCCGCATCTCTGCCTCAGCCCCAGGGTGTGCACCTGCAGGGCCCCAGGACATGGAGCAAGCAGCATGACTGCGTGCCGCTGGCTTGGCTCTGGGAAGTTGGGGCCCCCGCAAAGGAACTCTGTGGTGCTGGGGGAGGAACTGGAAGGTAAGTCTGTGTTCCCAGGACGGCACGCATGAGGGCATCTGCACTGGGAAGCTGGGAGTTGCCGACACTGGGACGAAACCGGCCCCCAGAGAGCGGAGGCAGGGGTGACAGGAACCTGCAGGGACAGGCTTCAGGCACAGCGGCACCCGGCGCGCTCCCACGGAACAGCGCACGGAGCAGCCTCCTTGACGGGAGGCCTGCAGCCTCCCCGTGTCCAGACCTGAGCTGCCGGCCGGAGGATGGCCCTGCGATGCTGTGCCGCCAACATGGGGCGACGACCCCGACCCTTCCCAGAGGTGCCCTGGGATGAGATGGGCCACCAGTGTCCCCTTCAAATCAGGGCTTAAGGGGGAGCCTGGGGCGGCTCAGTCAGTTGAGTGTCTGACTCCTTGTCCTGGCTCAGGTCATGGCCTCAGGGTCCTGGGATGGGGCCCCGCGTCAGGTCTGTGCTCTGTGGTGGTGGGGGGGGCATCTGCTTGGGAATTCTCCCTCTGGCCCCCCTCGCTCACACACACGTGTGCACTCTCAGATAAATCAAACTTTAAACAATAAAAATTTAAAAAAAAATCAGAGATTACGGGGCCAGGACCTGGCCGTGGTCACGTCCCCAAGCCTGGGACGCATGACTGGGGTGGACAGGCCCAGCCGGGCTCCCCTCACGGCTCAGTAGCTGCTAGTGCGGCACAGGGGGAGCCAAACCGCCTGTCCAAACCACGGCGCCAGGGCATGGCAGAGCGCAGGCCCTGGCCCTAGGCTGCGACCTGCACCTCCCACGCCAGGACCACAGGACCACTGGGCTCGTGGTAACAGGCAGGAAGCCTCACACGGAGCGAGCCGCACCCTCCCCCTCACCGCCGTCCCCAGACCAGAACCCGTGTGCCCTGCATCACACTCTGTTCCCATCGGTACAGGTGCGTGTCACAGGGGGATGGACGTTTAGTGCCACACCCCGTGGGGCTCACTGGGACTTCTGAACGGAGTCAAGCGTCCCCCCCGCCCCCCTGGGCAGTGCCCGGTCTGCCACCAATCTGTCTGCTCAGACGCCCACTCTGGGGGCCGCGTCCTGACCAGCGGCTGCTGGGCTCTGTCCCGTCGCTGTGCAGCCTCCCAGTCTCTGCTCGCACTTGAGGTTTTGTCGGGTTCTCACATTTTAAGTCCCCACGTGGCCCTCAGTGGAGTCTGACACCGTGGCCCAAGGCCTGGTTCTTGGTCATGGCCGCTCCCCGCCCGCACGGTATGTCCACCCCAAGTGCGCACGGGGCCTCGGAGGCTGAACCGACACTGCCTTCCTCCAGACAGGATGCGCTTCTGCTTCCACCCCGACGGCTCTCCCACTGTGGGGCTTCCTGGGCCACGGCCTGTCCCTTCCTTCTGTGGCGGGCGCTTTGCTTGGAGCTCATCCCCGCCAGCGGGATGCCGGCCCCTGGCTGGGAGCCACACCGGAGACTGTGCGAACAGAACCAAGCCGGCTCCGCCCGGACACCCAGGACCTCAGCGAACACAGCCTGGCACCTGTCGCGTGCACGTCCGCGGGTGTTACGGCAGACGGACGGACCCCCACGGCACCACGCTGGTGTCCCAAGCAGCCCCGCACCTGCTGGGGGCACTCAGAGCTTGGCTCTGCCCAGGAGCTCGGCCCCCCCGGCGTTCAGGGCCCTCCGTCTGGACACGCAGAACCGGAGGCCCTGCTTCCACCCACCGAGCACGTGCGCTTTGCTCTGCTGCTTTGAGCAAGAGTCATGTCCAGGGCGCCCGGGCGGCTGGTCAGTGACACGTCTGCCTTCGGCTCAGGTCATCATCCCAGAATCCTGGGATCCAGCCCCGCATCGGGCTCTCTGCTCGGCCGGAAGCCACCTTCTCCCTCTCCCTCCCCCCGCTTGTGTGCCCTCTCTCTGGGTCTCTCTGTGTCAATTAAATAAATACAATCTTTTTAAAAAAGTAGTAAAAAAAAAAAACATTAAAAAAACACCAAAACCCATTCATGGCAACACACAGCAAGTGGCAGCAAGTCGCAGGAAGGAAACACACTGCAGAACCCCACCTTGGGGCCGGGGGTGGCGGGGGCACGCAGCGGCCTCCCCTGCTGGCTCCGGGCCTCGACACCCGTCCCCACAGCCCCCCTCGGGCGTGGTGCGCGCTGGGCAAACGTGCTGAGACTCACACCAGCAGCCCTAAGCCTTCTCCCTGTTCTACGTCACGGGAGATTTTATTTGAAAGAAAGAGACAGAGAGGCAGAGAGCACATGGGGAGCAGAGGCACAAGCAGGGCCCCCACTGAGCAGGGAGCCCGCTGCGGGCTCGATCCCAGGACCCCGGGCTCATGACCTGAGCCGACGGCAGACACTCAGCCGAATGGGCCACCCAGGAGCCTGTCTCTGTCATTTTAGTCGAAAAATGAACCTCGTGCTTAGTATAAACGCGTCGGGTTCCGCCCTGAACCCAACCGGTAGGTCGCACCCTTCCTCCCACAACCGTGCGCGCTCTGCTAGCGAGTGCATCCTGAGCTACGTCAAAAACCACTCGGGAACGAAAATGGTAAAGATTCGTTGGAGAAGTTTAATTCTCTACTTTTATAGATATCACGTATTAAATTAGAAGGCCACAAAGCAAAAATATACTTTACAATTCAAGATAAACCCGGACACTGGACCCAACAGAAGCATCTCAAACACGGAGCTCTGAGAATCGTTCCCACTGGCGCGCAGGGCTGTGGCCAGAGGGCGCCAGTACGGGGAGGGGCGCCTCCGGAAGGCCGATGGGGAGGCGGGAGGAGTCCCGGCACACACGGACGTTCCATCCTGGCTGACAGCGTGGCGGGGCTGCCTCTGGTGGAAAGGCCACCAGCCAGCTCACGAAGGCCCCCGGGGTCTCTGCCTGGTGTGCACGGGGCCACAAGGCACAGCGGCCCGGCACCAGCAGCCACGCTGGCTCATGGGAGTCCGTGGTGGCCACGCTGCGGCTGCATCATCGGCCTGTCCCAGGCCTGCTTCAGAGGAACCGCAACGGGTCCCCCTCCTGCCCCCCAGAGCAGCCACAGGCCATGACCCGCAGGCAGGACAGCAGGGCGTGAAGAAGGGAAAACAGGCCTGACACAACCAGGGAAGGTGTTGCAGAGCCTGGGCTTTCTCTGTTGTCAGTGCTCACGAGGAAGGGGAGCACAAGTGACAGGTGTAGGGTCTCTCCCGCCAACCGAGGCCCCGCGAGTCCCGCTGTGGCTGCTTGCTGGGTTCTGTGGGAGTCCTCACAAGGAGCACATCCCCGACGCGCCCAGATGGCCCGGCAACGGGGAGGAGGAAAGCGGGACCGGGGCCTCTCGGACACGGGGTCCCGAGCTGCGCGTCTGTGGAGGTCGTCCCCACGGGAGTGCGCCGCAGGCCTGCCCGGTGCTTCTGGGTAGAAATGTGCTGTGTGGCCCCAAGGTGTCCGAACCGGGAAGTGGCGCCCCACGAGAAAGCAGGGCTCCCGCGTCCAAGCCGGCAGTCGGCGCCCATCCCCCAGCAGCAGTCTTCACCGAGAAGCCTGGCCGGTGCGGTCATTGGGCAGCCGGCACGCACGCCTTCGGCCTTTCGCGTGCGGATCCCTGATTGTCCCGCGCCTGCCGGCAGCAGCAACATCCTCCAGCTGATAGGAAACGCCCGTGCAGTGGGGAGGTGGAACCGGGTTCACCCTCACGCCAAGCCCTCGCAGGTCCGCGCCATCGGAGCCCATCGCGCCCACGGCGGAGACTCCATCTTCGAAGGCGAGCGTGCCGCGTGTGGGCTACGAGCAGCACCCAAGACACGGCTCATGCTGCTGACTTCCACGAGGAGCCCCTACTCGTCCCAGGCCAGGGGCCACGGCTGCCACGCAGCCCATGGCGCGGCACACGCACCTCCTGCCTCCCGAGAGGACTGGTTCACTAGGCGGCTGCTCCTTCCACCCGAAGGGAATTCAGGGCACTGGTCCAGCGGTTACTTAAATCAACGTCAGTAGTGAGCCGATGGTTCCTAAACACCCTTTAATAAACAAAGTACTGGAACTACCACTTTTACCCCCAGTTTCAAGGTTCTGTTCCAAGAGTCAGTCAGAGAGGAGCGGCAACCTCTCGGAGTCCCACCCCACGGAGCTGGCATGACGCACAGCAGGAAAAGGCATCACGGGGTCCCCAGGGCCCAGGACAGCCCTGCTCCAGAGCCTGCGGGCGGGGCCAGGCAGGCTGCCAGGCTCGGCGCACCCCGGACCCAGTGCGTTGTGCATCCACGCTGACCCTGCCGCTGGACTGGCAAGACGGGAGTCAGCCCGCCCAGGGCACGGGTGAGCAGCCCAGAACCACACACAAAGAACATCCATGGAAAGATGGGAATTGTACGGTTGCAGTTGTGGAAATAAGCCCAAATCAGCTGTTAATGTTCTACGCGCCTGAAGTAACAGGTCTACCCGGCTAAGGAGATGAACGGCATGCCACAAGTCAGCCCGCAGGGCGGCGACGCTTTCTACAGCGCTGGCAGAGGCGGGGGCTCGCAGACAGCCTGCTTGCGACAGCGTGCGAGGAGCAGCACACGGCACTTGAAGACACATGTCCCCAAGCGGTGGGAGGGCGAGCGTGCGTAGAGAGGACAAGCCCCCCGTGCCCGCTCTGCTCCCAGTGAAGCCAGGAGGAGAGCCACCCACGCCTGAGTGACGCTGGGCTCGGCGGCCGGGGACCAACCACCCACATGCATCCCACACAAGGGGGAGGACTGGGACTACAGACGTCTGAGCAAAGGCTACACGGGGCTCCTTCACAGGAATGGGGGGAGGGGCTGGGCCGGCACGTCGGGGGCGGGCGGGGTGGCGAGGCTCTAGGACTCCTCGCCCATCTGGAGCAGGGAGTTGATGGCTGCGTCCCTGTCCCCTCTCTGGGCTTCCAGCACAGAGCGGATCACCTCCCGGTCCATGTTGGGGAACATGTCCTGGATGGCTCTCAGGTCCTCCTCGCTGCAGCGGGCAGGGGCACTCACGGCTGCTGGGGGCAGGGCCACAGGCACCACGCCGGGGCTGCACACCGCAGGCACACCTGCAAGCACAAGACGTGGTTTAGGGAACCCATGGCGGCACCAGCGTCCACACCGAGTGCCGGCCCTGGAAGCAGAGACACGGGCCCCCCGCTGCAGCCCCAGGCACAGGTCCGGGCCTGCAGCGCCCTCCCCAACAGCTGCACCCTCCACGCTCTGCACTCAGAGCCTGGACAGCTGCTCGCGCTGTGGTCCCTTCAAACTCCGGATGACACCACAGAGGCCAACGTTCGCTGACTGAAGGCCACAAAGCAGTTCTCTGTCAGAGAAGGAGCAGCGCGTGGGAAGGAGGCCCAACTGTCCCATGCGGGCTGGTGACGGTGGGCCAGGCTGTGCAGCCAGTGGGTCCCTCTGACGCAGACCAGCACGAGATCTCCAAGAGCAAGGCGCGCTCCCAGAGCCTCTCTCATGGGCCACGGTGCTGAGACGCCAAAAGCCCAACTCCCCAGTCCGCGGTCTGCAGGGTGGGCGGAACCACGGGGTAGAAGAGCAGCACGAGGGCTTCCCGGCCACTGTCCGGTGGGCACAGCTGACCGCACACACCGGCTCCGTGGCCTCCGTGCCGCCCACGCACTGCTCGGCGCACACTTTGCAAGAGCTCTCGCCCTCAGCCCAGGGTTAACTCCACTGTGGGACCCCCCCTGCTGGGGGGCAGCACCTGCAAGCAGCCCCCTTCCACGGGAGCAGGGTCCACAGACACACACACACACCACACACGTGCACACGCACACCCCCACACTGCAGATCACACGTGCACACGCACCCCATACTGCGGGTCACACGTGGACGCACACAGCACTCATCACGCACACACGTGCACGCGCGCACACATCTCAACGAGGTTGGGGACGTGGGATCTAAGTTATTCACAGCGGAAGTCGCTCTGCAGCTCAAGCTTCACGAAAACACGGCGGCGAGCGCAAGTCCCTGTTCGTAGGAAACACACTGGAGCCGGTGGGTGGCTTGGCCTTGGGGTCCAGGCAAAAAGCTCCTTCTTCTCCTTGGTCACCTCGTGCGAGTAGCTGACTACCCCACAGCTTACAAGCGTGCACTGAAGAGAACTTCCAAGTCCCCATTTACGCAGAACTCTCCTTTTCCAGAATATATGTTTTAGGACAAACTCTAAAGGCATGTACGGAGCGCGCTAAGGAACCAGAAAAATGCGTGTCCTGACACAGTGGACTTCTGGTTACCCACACGGGTCCCGGAGCAGGACACTGTGGGACACTGTGGACACTGTGGCTAGGGTGCCCCTAGAAAGACATCTGGCGGCACCTCACCTAGAAACTGGGGGAGAGCCAGGCCGTCTGGGGCCGCGTCCTGATGAAAGGGGTGCCTGGGGCACAGGCACAGATCCCCAGGAGGGGCCCTCGTGACCATGGGGGCCACGGGGCTGAGCCACGCTACAGCAAGAAGGGTCTGGGAGGGTCCAGCCTTCCCGCCTGAGCCTCTAGGGCCTACTGCCCGCCCACACCCTGATTCTGGACTTTGGCCTCCAGAAGTCAGGGCAGACCTTCCTGCTGTTTTAAGACGCCCAGGGCATGCACCCCTCGGCCCGTCGGGTGTCTGTTCCTCCTCAAACCTCCAAGGGCGGGCAGTGAAACCCCAATCTCACCCAGACCCTGCAACTGCTGCAGGGAAGGGGCAGGGAAGGCCCCAGGGAGAGCCCACAGGAAGGTCCTCCGCTGACCTCACAGAGCCCCCCCGAGGCGGGGGAGGTGCCTAGCCACAGGCCAGCTCACAGATGAGCGAGTGCTCTCCCACTCAGGGGGCTTCCCAGGCTGACGACGCGCCCTTGGCTTCCTGAGCCGCCGCGTCCCTGCCGAGACTCCCGTCTCCCGCTCAGCGCGACATCCTTCCATCCTGTGAACCTGCCCAGGCTGCTCCGGAACTCCTGGGCCACCAAGGCCACTTCCTACTGGCTGGCTCTGTCATGACCAGGGCTCACCCTTTCCCCCGTGTCTGTGGGACGGCCCCCATGCAGATCGGAGTCCACGGCTCTCCCACGCAAGTCCCGAACCTGTGTGGGCACCCTGGATACAGAGGCAGCCTCCTCGCCCACTTCCTCGTGGGGCACGTCTAGGCTCCAGGTGAAGGTCAGCCCAAGGTGACAACCTGGTCCTGCACCGGCCACAAGTGCATAATGACGAGGCCTCTCTCGTCTGGCTCAGTGGAAACGGCAGGGCACCCCACGCCACCCCAGCCCTGGGCGGCACAGCCCCCGCGCCCCACAGTGTGCCGCCCCAGCCCGGCCCCTCTGGCACAGTGGGACCACCACACCGCCTCGGGCAGAGACTGCGGAGACCTGGGCTCCTCTGTCCCCCTGCCCTCGGCGCTCACGGTCCCGCAGAGCCTGTCTGTGGACGCCCGCACACAGCTCTGCCTCAGCCGTGCTGCCCGTTTCCTGGCTGCTCGCGGCGGAAGCTGGTTGAGCCCAGTCACCATCGAGGGCAGGACAGAAGTAAACTGAGGGCTGACGGTAACATTCGGAAATTGAAAGACACGAAAGCAACCCCACTGCCGTCACAAACTGCTACTTTACAGAGATGGACAAGCACGACAGAGCGGGGACGTTAGGGCACCAGCTCACTTCACCTCACAGGGCAGGATCTTTCGTGACGATAACTACGCTAATGCGTTCAGAGACTACGTTTCTAAACTTCCATAAAAGTTCAACTTGCTAACAGTTTGGGGGTAAAATACTCTGTATCCTAGAAATGTAAAAATAACTCATGCCTAAAACCAAACCCTCGCGTTTGGAAGGATCCCGTGATGCAGAATGGACTTAGCCTGCGCACTGTGCTGAGTCCCCGAGGACCGCGCTGGGGAGGGGAAGGGCACACACCTGTGATGGGCACGTAGCCGACGCCTTGCTGGTACACGGTGGGCATCAGGACTACGGGCTGAGGCGGCATCATCACAGTGGCTGGCAGCGACTGGAACACACGGAAGACGATCACGGGGTCACAGGAGAACAAAGCACACAGGAAAATGGACACACCCTGGTGGAAGGCCGGGGCAAGTGCCTTGGCTATGGGGCTGTTCCGGAGTTATGGCCGACGGACACATCAGAAGGGAACGTGGTCCCCAGAAGCAAACAAGTACTTTCAGGCCCTACAGGGGTAACGCTTCCCGACCACCTCTAGCACGCCACCCCTCAGTGAACGCAGTCGGGGTTGTGCGTTCACATGAAAATGTCAGTCGTGTCATGAAACGTCTAGGAGTAAAAGGACATGAATGCTAGTACCTGCTTTCAAACGGCCCAGGAGTAAAGAGGGGGAACCAAGGTCTGCTGGGCTGGGACACCTGCAGGGATCCTCGTCCAGCAGATGTACAATAGCAGGGACACCACCACCGCCTTGGGGACACAAAGGTCCCAGAACCCCACCCTCCCCGAGAGCAGTGGGCTACAGACCGGACCCGGCACGAGCCAGGGGACCTGAGGACCAGAGGGCCAGCAGCTGTTCCCTCAAACCCCATGTGGTCCTGAGACCCTCCCCACCCCAACCCCGGACCACACGGCAGGCCCTCTCTGGCCATGGGGGGCGGGGGCATACCCTGAGGGACAGGCCACCACGCCATGCTGCTCCCCACCACCAGAATGCACCACGGTCCCAGTCCCTTGGGAGCAAACAGCCCCACTGAGCTGAAACTGCCCCTCCGCCTGCCTTCCTGCCCTGCCCTCACCGTGTAGGACATGACCAGGTTGATCATGCCCTCCTTGTCGTCACCCTGCCGGCCGCTCAGGCTGTACCACTCGTCCTCCACCTTGCCCTGCTTCAGAGACTCGGGAATGGTGACATGCGTCCAGGCAATGCGGTCATCCATGGAGAAGGCCCGCTGAGGGAGATGGGGGGCACAGGTGCTGCTGCCATCCCGAGGCCCCGCCCCTGCCGCCCACTTTCCAGGTGCCCTCATAGCCCCTGAGCCCCACCCACAGCCCCACCCCTCACCCTGCCCCTGAGGTCCCACCTCCTCCAAAAGTCACCCCCCACCCCCACCCCAAGGCCTGGTCCTGCCCACAACACACACAGGACCCCTAACCTCAGCCCCACAAAGCCAGGAGGGCCTCCGTCAGCATCTGGACAGGTGCAGTCTGGCCTCTGCCCGCCCCCTTGGGATCCCCTGCAGGTCCAAAGCCCAGTGGGCACAGAGAGAGGAAAGAAGGCCCTCTCCCTGCTAATAAGCAGACCCTCCCTCCTATCCCCCTGTGCTGAGCAAAAGGAGAGAAGAAGTAGGAGAGAGGAACCTAGAAGCCAAAAGAGAGAGCAGAGGGCACCATACTGGGTGGGGGTCCACCTCAGGCCCTGCTGCCCAACCCCCAGCCCTCCGACCTCTCCCCCTGCCAACCAAGCCCCTGGGGCTCCCTGGCCGGCTACAGCCGGCTGGGCAGCCCCATGCACATGCCCAGAGGACCAGGCTCAGGACGAGCCCCATGGCATCCCTCTGACCCTCCCAGGGACGCCTGGGGGGCTGGCAATTTGCACAAGAACCCTATTCCACCCGGCGTGGGGGTCTAAGCCACTTTATACCCAACCTGATCACAAGAGCTGGCCTCCGCGTGCCTTTGGCTTGGGGACGTGTCTGCGGCTTACAGAAGGGGGTGCGGCCAACACTGTCTCCTCAGAGTGCCGGGTCCCCAGCCCTGGGAAGCTGTTTCTGCACGTAACTGGTCAACAGACCCATATGGGGCCGTGTACTGTGCACTGCTGCTGGGGACACCAGGACGCCCATCACAAAGCAATGACGGCCCTGTGTCTGGGCGGGCCTGCAGCTCCCGGGCGGCCCACACCCCCGGCCCACGACGGGCGGCCGGCCCTCTCACCTCGTCGAAGATCTCCAGGTAGAAAGAGTCCACACCCGGGGGCACCGTACACTGGATAACCTTATTCCAGCGGGGGTTCTTGGCGCCGTTGTGGGCGGTGGGCGTCTCGTACACGGCGTAGCCCAGGCGCAGGCGGCAATACGGGTCCATGCGGGTCATGCCGTAATTCTTCGCCAGCTTGGCCTGAAACACACCAATGTGACTGAAGGGGCGGCCGGCGTCAGAGTGGAGGACACGCGCTCACCCACGCTGTCCACCCGCTCCGAGTCACCAACCCTGGCGTTCCCCGGGGACCAAGATACGGCCGCCACTGCGTTCCTGGGCTCTGGGTGCCCGGTCCCTGCTCAGGTCAAGGGAGCCATGGTGCCACACGGGGCAGCTCCTTCTCCAATGTCCCCTCAGAAGAGGTTGTAGGGCAGGGTGACGGGCAGGCTGTCCTGGGCCAGAGCCAAGAGCCAGCCTGGAGCAGCGGGGCCACAACTTCAGGCCACGGGCCAGCCGTCGCCAGGCTCCCATTCTGCTGTGTCCACCGCCACGGGCTAGGGGCCCTGAGGAGCCTGACCCTCAGCCGGACAGGCTCCCTTTGCAGGAAGAAAGTGCGGGGACGGACGAAGAGCGAAGGCTTTGGCTGCCCGGGTCTCTGTCCGCAAACAGCCTTCCAGGCGGATCTCACCGCTCCAGCGCCACTGCGGCCCGGGAGAGGAGCACGGCGGCTGCCGCCCACCGACACTGACCCTTCAGGCCTGGACCAGTCTGCCGAGAGGGGCACGAGCAGACACACGTGGGATGGAGCGCCATGCCCAGGACAGAGGAGCCTCTCAAACCTCAGTGCCAAGAACAGAGCCCAGTGGGATGCGGGCGAAGACCCATGGGGGGACGTGCTGGCTCCGTGCCGTTGGCCGTCACGGGGACATCAGCTCAAACCCCAACGAGCCCAAACCAAACCGACCCTGTGCTGAGCCGCACAGCACCCATGTCCCGTGCGCGCGTGGCCGACGACACACCTGCCGGGTACCCATGGAGGCCCCATAGGCCGTGCCATGGACGCTTCCAGCTGCAGCTGGGTGGAGGCCGGGCGCAGGGACAGGGAGGGGAGAGGCGGGGCGCTCCATGGACAGGAACCACCAGAAAAGTGGCTGGTGGGGCGGCCCAGAAGCACAGTGGGGCCCCGCAGACCGGGGAGAAAGGCTTATCACGGAGGATGTGGGAAGCCACGGGCCATGCTGAGAGGCCCAGCAGCTACACAGGGCTGGGGGGACAGCGAGCCGGGCACAGACCTGCTGCTTATGCAGGTGCACGAGGGGGCAAACTTTCAGAGACACCTGAGGATCTGCGGTGACCCTGTCACCCCAAGAGTGTGGCCAAGTGTCTGGGACGCAGTTCCCGTAAGACCCACGGTATTGGTGAGGCCTGACTGTGACTCTGCCTGCCTCCCAGTGACTCCCCTTTCTCCCTGGTTTCACAGAAAGCCATGGACACCAAAACCACTTTGGGCCCTGACCATGCCTTTGGCTCTCCTGGGGGTCCATGCCCCGACCTCGCCAGCACCGTGGTGGGCGGGAAAGGCATGAGTGGCAGGAGCACGGCTGGCACACGGCACGCGCCCATCCGCACCCCTCCCTGGTGATCCTGCTCCTGCTGGTAGAAGCCCGGGGAATCATCCGCATCTTTTATCAGATAGGCTTCCAGAAGAACGAAGCAGAAAAGCCACCTGTCCCCACGGAAAGTGCGGTCCAGCCCCCCCCCCCCCCCGCCGCCCTGGGGAGCCCCAGCACGCACCTGCACCACAGTGATGCTGAGGCGGCCCACCGTGCCCACCGCCCCTCCGTACTGCAGCTGCTGGGCTGCCTGCGCGTCCAGTTGCACCTGCTGCTGTGCGGCCGTGGGCGTGATGCGGAGGAAGTCCTGCGGCAGCTCACCGACGTACACCTTCGGGGAGAGCACACCATAAGTGGCGGGAGGGGAGCCCAGCCACGTCATCGCCAGAGCCGGGGGCCCACAGGGTCTCCAGCCCGAGCACCTCGAACCAGCACCCTGCCCTCCGGCAAGGAGCCCTCAGTGGACAGAGATGCACACTGGGCCTCTGCGGGGGCCATGGTCGGGGGTCACACACCCTAACCCACGTGTCCGCCGTCGGCTTGCTCTGCAGCCACTGGGATGAGCTACGCCTGTGAGCTGCGAGGTACCGGCTGAAAGCAAGCAGTGAGACAAAATCGGGAGCTTGGATTTCTAGTTGTATGGAAACCCACAGCTCAAACCAGCAACGGCCCAGAAGACCCCATAAAGCCGCAAACACCCCCCCTTTTTGCCTCCTGCTGATCCCTTTGTGCACGAGGCTGCCTCGCCTCGGAGAGGAGGGGCCGAGACACGCCAGACAGGGGACTGCGCAGAGGCCCCAAGGGTTCCCAGGAGCCAGTCTTCCAGGAAGAGGCAGCGGCTACCGCGGGAGCCGACTGCCACACGTGGTGGCTGCCGTGGACAGGGCTTCCCCTGCGGAGACGAGCGGGGTGTTGGATGCACGGCAGCCGGCATGTCACTCTTCCCAGGCAGGGCGGGCTCAGGGTCTGGAGGCTCTGGGTGGAAGGACAGATGGCCCAGGGAAACACAGTGGGCACAGCTGCTGGCCACAGACAGAGCCCCACGGGAGGGGGCAGCAGACCACAGCGCAGGGGACCCGGGTCCTCCTCGGCCGTCCCATGGGGACGTCACCAGGATTCAGGAGAGCCTCCAAGGAGCGTTATTTCCAGGAAAGGCCCCGGCGCCACAGGGAGTTGTGGCGAACGGCATTACCGATGGTGGCCACTAGGGACCGCACGGGCACGCACCAAACACCCTAAGGCCTGCGCTGCTGAGGTGCCAGATGACTGGGTCCGGCAGGATTCCAGAAGGTTCCGCACCCACTGAGGTCACAAGCACCAATGGGAAAGCATTTCTCTGCTGTTTTACTTCAAACGTCCCCAGAAAGGTCTAGGTCCCTGTCCTTTGTGTCCCCTCACGGGCCTAGTGTTGAAACTGAAGGACAGCCACTCCCAGACGCCCGTCTTGGGTTCCCCACGGCCCCCGGCTCAGCACCCGGGAGCCTGGTGCTCCAAATGCTTCTCTCTGTGAAGCAAGCGCCCCCTTCTCCTGGCCGCACCCCACGCCGGGCCGTCTCAGGCGCCCGGGGAGGAGGGCCCCTCGCACCGTCTCTGCGTCTGGAGTGGGCAGCCCCGGGGCTCATGCACTCATCACAGACACAAGGGAAAAGCAGTGGGGCCCCGGAGGCCCAGGGTTGCCAGGTGAGGACGGCACTGGCTCCCAAGGGGCCTCGCAGGTGCCCTTCCCCCAGCGTGCCGCTCGGCTCACCAGCAGGGCCCAGGGCTCGCCCTGGAAAGGAGGCCGCATGCCCTCCCGCACGGCTGAGATGCTGCGGCTGGCCTGGCGGCTATCCGACCGACGCCCATGGTCACGATGGGTAAATGCGCGTACATGCGAACACACTCCCAGCCAGAGCTCTTCCCAGAGGCCACAGGGCCGGATGCTGCCTTGCCAACCGGCCACGGGCCTCCCAGCCTCCGCCTGCAGCGGCCGAGGTGAGCTCTGCCCACTCCCGTGAGGGCGACCTGGCGCACAGGGACTCAGGCTAACCAAACGCAAAACATCAGTGCACACAGACCGAATTCTGTTATTCTGACAAATAACCTCTCCCTCCGCACCACACAATGCAGCTCTGAGGGTCCTCTGGGGACACGCCGTGCCTTCGGGGGACACAACAGGGACGGCCACGCAGGTGTCAGCAGCGACAGCGGTGACAGGGTGTGCTCAGGCCCGGGATCGTTCTACTGCTACTTCCCGTCATCCCATCCCCAGACCGGGACTTGCAGAACGACGCTCCCTCTCTGCTGTACTCATCTGGGTTTTCTTCAAGGAGAACACGCCCTTTAGAAGGGGCGGATAAAACCGTACTACAGGACAGAGATCGGGGCGCCCGGGGGTGCCGCCGGCTGAGCCTCTGACTCCTGATTTCGTCTCAGGTCCTGATCTCAGGGTCCTGGGATCGAGCCCCACAATGGGCTCCTTGCTCAGTGTGGAATCTGCTTGGGATTCTCCCTCCTTCCCTCTGCCCGACACACTGTGCTCGTGTCTGCTCGCTCACTTTCAAATAAGTAAACCTTAAAAAAAAAAAAAAAGATCAAACATCTAATGTTCTTTCTCAACCACTTTTCAACTTTGAAACCATAACCGTGAAATGAGGGTTTTTACGACATAAACTAACAGTGCAAACAAAACACGGGAAGGGACAGACGTTGAGCCCCCCGCCAACGCCAGCACTGACAGGATGGGGGACACCAGCTTCCGGAAAAGCGGCGAGGAGGACCCCATGCCCTGGGGGCTTCTTCCTGCCTGAGGGACAGGCTACAACGCCCCTGACCAGCAGTCCTCAGACAGTCCAGGTCTCCCAGACAAGGCATGTCTGAGACGGGCCCAGAGAGCAGGCCACTAAGCGTCCTGGCACCCGCATAAAGCCCAGAGCGAGCGGTCGCGCAGCAAAGCCGGTCTCTGCTGACGTCACCCGTGGGGACCCCCCACAAGGTGCAGAGACGTAGGAGCTCTCGTGCTCTCACAGCCGCTCTGTACCTCGAACGTGCCAGGTCAGGAGAAAACGTCAACCTCACTAAAAAGGAAGGAAACGGTGCTTGGCTCCTTACGGAACACCGAGCTCCCGGCTATACGGGCGGGGCCCCGCTGCCCTGGGAGCCGCCACACGGGTCCGTCCACATGGCCGGACGCCCACACCTGCAGTCGGCACGAGTCCGTCTACGCAGCACACACCGCGGACAAGCCCGGGGGCCCACACAGGCCCGACCGCTGAGACCAGCGGGGAAGGTCGTCGGGAGCGCCTGCCTACGCGCGGGCCGAAGCTCAGGGCTAATCCCAAAACGGACCCTGCCCTAGGACGACCGAGGAGAGGCCTGAGCGGTCACGCCCAAACACGCGCTTCATGCTGCCTCCAAGACCAGAGAACGATGAATCCTGGTCAGAGACACGTAAGGGACACCGTCAGCTGTCACCTGGCGCGCGCGCACAAGTGGGGTACGCGGACTCCAAAACGACGTCAGCCGCGCGCCGGCTGGGGCAGGTGGCCCTCTGGGCCCGGCTGTCATCACTGTCCCCACAGGGAGCAGCTCCCCGTTTCTCCTCCCACCCACACAGCCTGCACACAGCGTCTGTCAGCCCGCGTGCCGCACAGCACCTCGGGCTCGGCGTACAAACAGCGCTCCCCAGTTAACGCACGGCCACGGCAAGCTTCTGAGGGGCGCCTGGGGGGCTCAGCAGCTGAAGCCGCTGCCTTCGGCTCAGGTCATGGTCTCAGGGTCCTGGGATCGAGCCCCGCGTCGGGCTCTCTGCTCGGCGGGGAGCCTGCCTCCTCCTCTCTCTCTGCCTGCCTCTCTGCCTGCTTGTGATCTCCGTCAAATAAATAAAATCTTTTTAAAAAACTGAAAAACTGTTAGTGTTTTGTATATATTTGTTGAGCAACCTTGAATGTATTTATAAATTATAATGTGTCAAATTACACACACAAATCAGCGATTTATAGAAATACTGTACCAACAAAATCACAAATTCAAAAATTCATTCGACTGTTACTTTTCCAGTAAAACATCTGGGACGTTTTCTCAGTATTTTTAATGAACTTTTAACTTTTGCTTGATATGCGAAAATAGTTTTTAGTCTCCTGGTGGATGTTCTTTTTGGTCCCCTGACAAGGTGACGGGGTGAACTCCCGTGGTACGGAGACAAACATGGCAACAGTGGCACGAGGCAGAGCTCCCGTGTCCGTGTCCCCCACCAAGTCGACAGCCACGCGACGCCCAAGGCAACAGGCGCGATGATGCCGCGAGGAGGAGCAGCCCCGGCGCAGGCCGCCAGCCGCTGTGAGGCCGTCCCTTGGCTCTGCTTGTCTGAGAACCTGCTCCGCCCTCTGGGGCCAGCATCACCCCTGAGGACACTGGCACTCAGGGCTCCAGAACCCCCACCGTGGTCCGAAGAGGTACCCCAACACTAACGCCTCCTTGGTCCACATCACTCACACTGGAACCATAGCTGAAAGGGACAAAGAAGGGCGACACCAGAGACAAAGAGAAGCCCTTTGTGCCCTGAGCCGTGGAGGGGCCGAGGGCCAGGCAGTAAAGTCCCAGCTCACAAGACGAGGCGCCCCCACTGCAGGACGGTGTCTGGTGGGCCAGGAGTCCCAAACCTCCCCGGCATCCCAGGGGCCAGTCGCACTGAAGGCCCTGCAAGGGGACAGGTGTTACCAGACTGAGGCCACAGCTCAGCAGGGTCCTATCTCCCAAGCGACTGCATGAAGGCGCGGCTCTGACCCCCAGCCTGGCTGGGACAGAATCCTCGCTACACCCTGCAGGAGGGGGCCCGGGCGGCGGAAAAGCTGGACACGTGCTGCAGGGTGTGACAGCCGATGGGCCGTGGGGACAGCAGAGGCGTGTGGGCGGGGCACAGGCTGAGAACCCCACTCTGCTCAGAAGGCGGGGCTCCCTCAGGGCTCATCCTCACACTGGGGGAGACTGCAGTGGGGTCCGCGGGAAGGAGGGCCCCGCTCTGTCTGCGATGCCTGGAGCCTTTCCAGGGCAGGGAGCAGCCGAGCGCACGGACCTGCTGCTCAGGAAGGAGGCTGGGAGGCGACAGGGAGTCACGGTCACACGGGAGACCCGAAGCCAGGGTCCCGGGGGGGAGAGGACACACAGGGAAAGAGGAGGAGGAGGAGCTGATGGAAGCAGGTCCAAGTGCAGACGGTGGCCTCAGAGCGAGGAGAGGCTGCGGTCACCTGGCTCACAGGGGATGGCCATTTCCAGAGGGCCCGGGAGATGGGACGCGAGGAACGGCAGCGCCGACCCCGGGCACACCCGCACCCGGCTCCGCGAGGCCGGACGGAGGGGCTCGGCTCTGCGGTAGCGGGGAGGGCTGGGCCGCCGGCAGGGCAAGTGGGGGGCCCCGCGGCCGGGGCGCGTGCGGGAGCCCACGGGCTCACCACGGTGCTCGACAAAGGAGACGCCGCCACGCGCAGGCCTGAAGGGAAAGCCGAGTCCTGCGTCCGCGGCCTGGGAACGGACGGGCAGGAGCCGAGCGCGTCCTGACCTCCCTGCACGACGTCTCAGGACCAGCGGACTGGGGGGGGCGGGGGGGGGCGGCTTCGCAGACCGCTCTGGTCAGTCAGCGCAAACAGCCCTGAGACACCCGACGCGCCCCGCGCCGGCCCGAAGTCGCCGACCCGGCAGTCCCCTCGCCATCGGCAAGTTACACCCACGTTCACGGCCTACGGGAACTCCTCCACACGCTTGCGCTTCCCGGCTCGCGAGGACGCAGTCACCGCGTCACCCGGCAGAAGCGATCGCCGTCGGCAAAGCCGACGAGGGCCTGGAGTGGCAGGTCAGCCGCGTGCCACCCGCGGGCCAGCCCGGCTCGGGCAGGAGGGCAAAGGCATCAGGAAGAGGAGGGCGCGCTCGGCCTGAACCCGCTCGCCCACCGTCAGCGCCTCTGCAGGAGGTCGGGTGGTCGTGGTCAGCCCGGGCTCGGGGGCCGCCCTGCGCGTCTGTGAGGGAGGCTGGAAAGGCTCTCGCTGCCTCCGACGGAGCCTCGGTCCCCGTCCCCACGAGCCGGCGGGCGCCACCGAGGTTTAAAGCAGCCTGTCTCCCACAAACTCCCCGCGCTCCGACGAGCGCTTCTGACAGGCTGCGGGCTGCGGCAGGAAACAGATGTCGTCGCGAGGACACTGGCCATGGGAAAAGCGAGGTCAACAGGACGGGCCTGGGCACGGCTCCGCGGCGATGTGGGGAAGGAACCAGCCCCAACAGACAGACGCCTAAGAACCACCTGAGCCCCACCGAGGGGAGCAGCTGGCACTGCCCACCACAGCCCACCTCACCCAGCCCCTCAGGCTTCCCTGTGCAGGGAGGCAGGAAACACCCCATCCCCTGCCAGGCAGACTCTCCCTCCTTCGTCACACCCCCAAGGACGCTGCCTGTTACTCCTCTGTGGCGAGTGGGACACGGATGCCCCACGTGCACCTGAGTCCAGGCTCTGGGCGCCCTGGAGCCCAGTGGAGTCCTGTGTGCCATGCGCAGGGGTGTGGGCCCCCCCACCCCCAGCCACACGCGCTCAAGAGAGCGCCCAGCCCCCACCCAGCTCCTGAGCGCTGCTGGGTGCTCCCTCACCCCCACCCGCTGGGATGGCCGAGCACCTGGTCCTCTGCCCCACAGCACCCGGCCCCAGTGCAGTCGGGGCACCCGGCTAAAGGACAAGGCCCACCGGACTGGAACAACTGCCACAGTCCTCACAAGGACCACTTGGCCGGGGGGAGCGGGGGCGCTGAAGCGGCTGGTGCCGGGCAGGAGGCTCTGTTAGAGACCAACACCGGAAAGACCGGGTGAAACTCAAGCGCCCAGTCCAGCTGCTGGCCTTTCGTCTGGAAAAGCACGGGGCCGGGCCTGCTGCTCGCCCCGGCACAGGCCCCCCCCCCCCCCCCCGCCCACCTCGCGGCCCCCAGCCCCTCCCCACGGGCCTGCCGGGCTCCTCCTCCAAGTGTCAGGTTAGGTGCCAGGTCCCCCAAGAACCTTACCCACCTTGACCACAGCCCCTGACAGGCCACCCGCACATCTAAGTCAGGAGTCGAGACCCACAGCTCTGGGCACCTGGGTGGCTCCGTCGGTTGAGCATCTGACTCTTGGTTCCAGCGCAGGTCACGATCCCGGGGTCATGGCATCGAGCCCCACATCGGACTCCACGGTCAGCAGTGTCTGCTTGTCCCTCCCCCTCGCTGCTCCGCTGCTCACACGCTCCTCTCTCTCTCTCAAATAAATACAATCTTAAAAACCCAAACAAAAAAAGAACCACAGCCCTGCGCGCAGCTCCCGGCTTCCGGGTGTCTCCTACGCTGCACAGTAACCCTGGCTGCGGGCACTACGCCGGGTGCTCCCGGTGTCGCGCTGCCCCAAATACCAGGCCCGTAACAGGCTGAGGAACATGTCACGTGTCCTGCGCTGGCACTCAAGACCCCAGCCCCAGATGCCCCCTTCCCGGAGCTCCCAGCAGCTCCGGCCCAGCCCTGACGTTACCGCGCGCCTGCAGGTCATGGAGGGCACCCACCGTGCGCACCAACGCGGACACGTAAAGCCACAGCACCGGCACGAGCGGCGCACGGCGGACAGACGGGCAGCGCGACCGCAGGCGCAGACAGTGGCTCCCCAGCCTGGGGCTCTGCGCCGCCACAGAGCGGAGCGTCCCCCGTGCAGCCTCCCTTCCCAGCAGACGCCGTGCCCGGCTTCGTGCGCGTCTACGCGCGGGACCCGCCTCCGGTGCAGCCCCGCGGCCCCCGGCGCGCGGCGCGGGGTGGGAGGACCAAAAAAGGAGCGGCTGGGCGGGCTCCCTCGCTCCGGGGTCAGCCAGTCGCACGAACAGGAGGCACCGCCGGGGACACCGCCTGGGCTCGCCGCAAGCCCGAGCGCTGGAAGCCGCGGACGAGTCCAGAGCTCTCCGCACGGGCCGCGGGGCCCTTCCACAGCCACGTCCCGCGGGCAGCGGGGCCAGCTCCCCCTCGAGCTCCCGGACCGCCCCGTGCCCGGGGGACCCGACGACGCCGGGGGCTTCCCCTCAGCCTCAGAAAGGCCGTCCCCTCCGGCGAGCACCGCACGCGCCCGCCCGGCTCCGCGCGAGAAGCCCCGCGACCTCCCGCCCTGCGGCGCGTCCTGAGCGGCTGCTACCGCGGACCTCGGGTCTCCGACGCCCCGGGTGCGGTCCGGGCTGCGGGAGGCCACCGGCCCCAAGCCACCCGAGCCGCGCCCCTGCAATGGCACAGTGCGGGGACCACGCCGGAGCCCACCGGCTACCGGCTCCCGCGCTCTCGTCGGCAAACGAAGAGGCTGATGGCGGGACGAGGGGCCCGACGGGGGCCGCGGGCCCTACTCCGCCCGGCGAGCGAGGGCGGCCGCCTGCGGCTCGGGTCCTCCACAGACGCACGCTGCGGCTGCCCCACGTGAGGCCCGCCGGGGACCGCGGGACCCTCCCCGGTGCGGAGACCCACGCAGGGTGCCGGGCCTCCTCGGCCGCCGCAGGCCTCGTCGCCCCGCCCGTCGCCAGGCCCTCCCCGGACGCTCCGGAGCCCACGCCCGCCCACGCCCGCCCGCCCCCGCCCGCAACCTCACCGGCCCGCGCTGCGTGCTGACTGTGGTCGCCATGGTGCCTCCGCCTCGCCCACCGGGAGCGGACGCGTCCGCGACCCTCGGCGCCGGAGCCTGCGACGCCAACTGCCGGTCCTAGCGAAGCCGCCGCCGCCTTGGTCAGCTGACGGCTGGCCCCGCCCCCGCGTCGCTCACTGCGCAGGCGCCAAGTTCGCCACGCCCCCTCCGGCGCCGCACGCACGCGCGCCCCAGCAGGCGCCTGCGCAGTCGCTCTCCCCGGGTCGCGGCCCCGCGAAATGCCTCCCGAGCTGGCCGTGTGCGCATGCCCGTAGTGGCGGGCCCGCGCCGGTCACGTGGCCGTGTGGGGCCCGCCCCCCCTTCCCTGCCCCCAACCACCTCGAGGTGCTGCTGCCGCGGAGCAGGGCGGGCGACCGCAGGCTTCCCCACCTCGGAGGCAAAGCGACGGCGTAGCCCTGCAGCTGCCCCAGATGCTGGGAGTGCGGGAGCCCTCACGCGCGCATGTGTGAGCGCTGCAGTCCTGCCGTCGGGGCGGCGGCGGCGCCGACCGTTTCAGCACGAGCGCCTCCGCCGCCAGGACGGACGGCCCCAGCGTCCCTCCAACCCCCAGGTCCCCTCCCCTCCGGGGTCCCCCCCGGCCTCGACGGGCGGCGCCCCCACCCATACCCCCGGGTCTCCCACCCCCGGGACATGACGGGAGGCGCCCCCCACCCTCCGGGACCCTCCACACTCCGCTCCCGCCCGGAGGCCCTGAGGCTCGGAGGCCCGAGCCCGAGCCCGCTCCGACCTCCGGGTCTCAAAACCGTATGGGCCGCCGGCAGCGCCTGGTCAGAGCAGAACCCGCTTTCGCGCTCGCGGGCAGAAGGGCAGCCCTCCGCGGCCCTGCTTGTTCGTCGTCCTGCTTGCGGAGGCTGGGGGCCCGCACGCCGCACTTGCGTCCGCCCTCCGGGCCCGCACCCCGGGCTGTCGCGAGTGGCCAGCCCGCCCCGTGTCGGCGGTCCCGGTGTTTGCCGGAGCACCCGGGAGTCCCCGCCACCCGACTACCCGTCTGTTTGCCCTCCTCTTGCCTGCGGGCCGCGGCGCCCTGGCGCGAGGCCGAGGCTCGGGACGCCGGTGCAGGACACCGCCGTAGCGCTGAGATCCCCCCCCCCACCCCGCCAGGAGTGTGTCCACCAGCTCGCCGCACAGATGAGCAGCTCGGTCCTGGAGCCCCGCTTCGAGAGCCCGCTTTCTGGGGCCACTTCTGGTGGCGGTTACTGTATGGTCAGGGTCCCGGCAGGAAGCAGAGGGCAGCGCACAGAGACAACGGAGTTTAGGAAATGGACGGTTACGCGGGGGACCGTTAAGCGAGGGAGCAGGGAAGAGGCTCCGTCAGCAGAAGGCGCGGCCTGTCCAGAGGAATGAACCCCGAACCCCAGGCCTGGGGAAGTAAATACTCCCACCCACCCGCAACACGCTCATCTCCAGGTGTCTCCCCTTAACCCAGCCAGGCCCCAGGTTTGCGGAGGTCTCCTTCCTGGAGCACAGACACCGCTGGAGGAAGGGGACGGTGCTCCTGGAGCAGGTGCAGACTGGCCGACGCGCATCCGAACACGCTCACCGCGGGCGCAGTTCTGTAGAACAGCAAAGACACAGAAGCGAAACCTTCTAGAGGTAGTTAAGGAAAAATTATGAGACTTTATTGACAGATGCTACAGAGTCCTTGAGTCCATAGAGAACTGTGTACCATGTTCATGGATAGGAACGCTCAGCCTCAGAAACACAATTATTCCCCAAATTGCCCCTCAAAAAAATTTTTCATTAAAACCTCAGAAGGGGGGACACCTGGAGGGCTCAGTCAGGTAAGCATCTGCCTTCAGCTCAGGTCATGATCTCAGGGTCCTGGGACTGAGCCCTGCGTCCCTCTTCCTGCTCAGCAGGAAGCCCAGTTCTCCCTCTCCCTCTGCCCCTGCTTGTGTTCCCTGTCTCCATGTCTCTCTTTGTCAAATAAATAAATAATCTTAAAAAAAAAAGACTTAAAACCCCAGATGGGCTTTTTAAAAGAAGTTCAACAAACTGATTCTAAATGTGTATGGAAGAACAAAGGCTGAGTAACAGCTGGAACATTCTAGAAGAAGGAAGAGAAGGAGGCAGGGATGGAGAGGAACTGTCCTGGGAGATGTGAAAACACAGTAAAACCAGCGATCAAGGTTCCAGTGCGGATGTGGGGGTAGACATTCACCAGTGGGGCGGAGTATGGGAATGATTAACAAGGTGCTGGCCTAGCTGAGCAGTTGGGAAAGGAAAATGTCATTTAGTAAGTGTGCTGACAGTCGGCTGTACATGGGGAGAAATTTAAACTGGATCCCTGTTTCGTGCCAGGCGAGAGAGACTTCCTGGCTGGGTGGAATTGATCCAATACATGCTTGATGGATCCCACGTCTGTGTGACGTTCGGAAAGAGTAACAAGGGGATGAGCTGTCACTCTGCTCTGATCCTTCTGGAAAGACGTGAGCGGGAGTTGGGAGGTGGCCCTTACAATGGGCGGGGAGCTCGTAGCAAACCCCACGTGACAGCAAGGTGTTCAGCAGGCCAAGCAGGCTGAATCGGGGCAGGGACCAGATGTCCCTGAGAAGGAAGGGCGCAGGGAGCCGGCAGGTGAAAAAAAGGAGAGGGAGGCGGGCCAGAGAGGGGGTTTTCAAACCCAGAGTGGGATATTAGATGGAATAATGAGCCGTCATCACAGGCCCTTCATGAGCAGAGCGGGGAGGCCACAGAGTGGGGCTGAGAACATGCCCTTGGCCGAATTAGAGGCCAACTGTATTTCCACGGAGAGCACGGGCTGTGAAGGGAGCACAAACACTGGATCCCCCGACTGATGGCTCACGCTGTCTCACAGACCCAATGCTGACATTCGGAGCCTCGGCCCTGTGTGTCTCCTGAGTGGTGTCATTGCCCGTGGGGTCACTGCTCCCAGGCCATTTCCACGTTGTCACGGGAGTCCCACCCTCCCTGGCCTTTCTGTGTCCAGGTTTCAATGGCACACATGGGTCTCAATATTTGTGGGGTCCCCTAATGTGTCCAGGAGCCCCAGACAGGCTTTCTGGGGGTGTTGGGTGGGATTCTTGAGAAATAATAATGTTAAAATAACATTTGGAGTGCTCAGTCTGTGCCAGGCATCTATCACACACTTGACGCGTGTCATCTCATGAGTTTGCCCGTCTGTCCCATGGACGCCGCTCTCTCCTCCCCCGTGTCACAGATGAGGTTACGACTGAAGGACACACATGTTTGTGCTGTCCACTTCCAACGGTGACTAGTGCCAACAGCATACAAACACTTCCCACGAGTCACAAAACTCCTGTAACACGAGAAAGAGACCAGGCAGGTAAAGGAATGGGTGTTGTGAGCTTTGACAGGTGTACGGAGATGCGCCCAAGCTCACTAATAATAAGGGAGATAATACGACCGTGAGACACCACTTGACATTCACCAGAAGAGTAAAAACTCGGGAGGAAGGGCCAGAGGCCCTGCAGAGGACTGTGCTGGGAAGCTCCGGGGCGCTGGTGGGAAGAGAGACGGCAGGATGCGCTCTGGAAAAGCGGCGCCGCCACACAGGGTGAGCTGTGCTGCTGAGCGGTCCCCAGGGACCCGTTCTGGAAGCACGCACACAGATGCACAAGGGAACGCGTTCAGGCTGTTTGCTGCAGGTTGTTTGTGCGGTGGAAGTGGGCGGCCTCATCGCCCACCTCCAGAAGCGCGCAAAACCAGACGTGATGGGTATACACCGAGAATGCTGGGCGACGGGCAGGAGCAACAGAGTGGGTGTCCACAGAACGATCACACGCATTTTTAAGTCCGCACAAGTATTTTAGGCAGCAGCTTTCAGGACCCTCCCACCAGGCAGCCAAGGCAGCATCCCCGTGACATGCTGGAGACCAGAGGTGAGCCCGAGGACTGCCCCAGCTTGCCACCTGCAGAGGGTTTCAGGGCTGCTGGGCAGGGAGGACCAGTGGTCTCCCTGAGCCAGGAGACTCGGCCCCAGCAGCGTCGGGTACAGGGAGGGGAACCGCCCAGAGAAAGAGCTATGGCGTCTGCAACGTGTCCCCTGCGGTCTCCCGCTGAGGGCACATCAGCAAACACATGGGATAAACTGCCCACGGCTGGGGAAAGAACGGCTTGTAAGAATTACAGTGATGCCAGCAGCCCACCCAGGGTCTGGACCAGTTCCTCTTCCTACCAGTCAGAGCAGAAATTCACATGACCGACGGGACCCTGAGTGGACCACCGGGCACGGTCTGCCTTAACACCACCAAGGATAATGCTGGTCGCTTTAAAATGCTAAAGGGATAAAGAAATCAAGGGGACGTAAAAGTTCTGTAAGTTTGCATGTCCTGTTATAACCCTCCCCTCGATGTGCGGCAGGACAGATGGGGACACAGTAAGGGCACACACAAGCCAAACAACTAATCTGATCGACACAGAAAACTCACATAACAGTTAAATATGCATTCTTACGCACACACTGAACATTTACCAATACAGACCATATCGGGGGCCAGAAAACAGTCTAAAAGATTCAAACCATACAAATTACATTGCCTGGCCAAAACAGAATTACATTAGGCATCCATAAAGATATATATAGAAAATCCCCCCATTATTTGGAAACCAAATAACTAGCCCACGTGTCAAAGAAGAAATTAAGAGGAAAATTAGTGTTTTGATCTGGGCGAAGATTAAAAAACTCGGCCCAGGGTGTTTTGCGGGGGCAGCTAACACGGCATGTAGGGGAAATCCATGTCTACATTAGAAAGGAAGGAAGGTCTGAAGTCACTGACCTCAGCATTTACCTTGAGACACGAGAAAAAGAAGAGCAAAGTAAGTACCTCCTAAGTGAACAGAAAACAAAGAGAAAATAAGTGTCATTGAATAAATCAATGACATAGAAAATAGACCACAGAAAAAATCAGTAAGAACAAAAGTTCTTCTTCTTCTTCTTCTTCTTCTTTTTTTGTTTTGGAAGACAATAGAATTTATAAGCCTCTGGTCCCGCGGATCAGGAAAAAGAGAGAGAAAACACATTGCCAATACCAGGAATGAGAAAGTTGGCGTCGCTTCAAATTCTACAG